GGGGAGAAAAAGGAAAATAAATAAATAAATAAAATCTTTAAAAGGAAGTAGACAGGTACTACAATCAAATACAATGCCCTAGACTCTGTTGAATCCTGGATTTTTAAAAGAAAAGTACAAAATGTATTTTGGGGACAATTAAGCAGATTTGAATATGAACTAGATATTAGATGCTAATATGGAATGACTGTTTATTTCCTAGGTTTGATAACGATACCATGATTATGAAGAATGTCCTTATTCTTAGAAGGTGCATGCTTAAGTATTTAGGGGCAAAGAATGTGCCTGCTCACTCTATCTTTCAGAGTAACCAATAAAAAACAAATGGAAAAAGAGGTTTAATAAATGTGGCAAAAATATTAGCAAACGGTGAGTCATTCCTATTCTTTAATTTTTTTGGTGCAACATTTTTCAAATATAAAATATAATAATAAAATGCATCATAAAAGCTAAGCTAGCAGTATAAAAAGAAGTACAATTGTTTTTCTACATTTGAAATTGATCCGCATTTTTTACCACACTAACAAATGAAGGGGGAAAAGTAATTTCTCTGAGTAATGTTTTGTAGTTTTCAGCGTAGAAGTCTGTACCTTCTTAGTTAAATTTGTTCTTAAGTATTTTCTGCTATTTTTGATGCTATTATAAATGGAATCATTTTAATTTCCTTTTTTAGATCATGTTATATGATCTATAACATGATGATCTAGTGTATAGAAATACAACGGATTTTGTTGTGTTGATGTTTGTATTCTGTAAATTTGTTGTCTTTGTTCACTAGTTCTAAATATTTTGAGGGATAAGTTAGAGTTTTCCACATGTGACATCATGTGATCTGTGCACAAAAATAGTTTTAGTTTTGCTTTTCCAATTTAGATGAACTTTATTTCTTTTCCTTGCTTAATTGCTCTGGCTACAACTTTGAGTTCCATGATGAATAAAAGTGGTGAAAATGGCATCCTTGTCTTGTTCCTGACTTTAGGGGAAAAACTTTCAATTTCTCACCCTTGAGTATGATGTTAGCTGTGGGCTTTTCATATATGACCATTATCGTGTCGAGGAAGTTTCCTGCTATTCCTTGCTTATTGAATGTTTTTATCATGAAAGGGAGTTAGATCTGTTAAATGCTTTGTCTGCATTGATTGAGATGGGGTTTTAGTTCACTCTATTAATAGGTATATTACATTGATTTTCATATGTTGAACCACCCTTGTACTGTCTAGACTAGAGGTTTGATTAGATTCAGATAAAACATTTTTGGAAAGACTACTTCATGCATGAGATTGAGAACTTCACTCTGCATTGCATGAGAAAGTACACAATTGGTATTGTCTCACGTTTATATGCTTGCCAAGTGGTGCCATGTCTGCATCTAGGATCTGAACCTGCGAACCCCGGGCCCCCAAAACGGAACATGGTCACTTAACCACTGCACCACTGGGCCGGCCTAATTTTTTTGTTTTGAAAGATTGGCACCTGAGCTAACAACTGTTGCCAATCTTCCTTTTTTTTTCTGCTTTTTTTCTTCCCAAACCCCTGCAGTATATAGTTGTATATTTTTTTAGCTGTGGGTCCTTCTAGTTGCGGCATGTGGGATGCCGCCTCAACATGGTCTGATGAGTGATGCCATGCCCATGCCCAGGATCCGAACCATTGAAACCCTGGGCTACCAAAGCAGAGCGTGTGAACTTAACCACTTGGCCAAGGAGCCGGCCCCTAAGTTCTCTATCTTCTTACTGATCTTGTCTTCTACGCATTATTGAACGTTGGGTGTTATAGTATTTAACTATTGTAGAACTATTTGTTCCCTCAATTCTGTTTGCTTCATGTTTGAAGGCTCTTTTGCTGTCTTCTCGATGAACTGACTCTTCTGTTAGTACGTAATTCTTCATTGTCTCTTGGAAGAGTTTTGGATATATACTTTTTACTTTCTACACGTCTTAATTTTTTTAATGTAATGTGCATGTGTTTATTATAAAATGGGGGGTGGGAAACAAGGCAAAAGGAGGAATCTCTATTGTCATTCAGATTGCAGGACCTTCCACAAGACAACTGGCTTAGACTTCTCAAAAGTTATTGTCATGGAGAAAATGGGGAATTGATCTTGGAAAAGTTTTAATAACCAAACATAATGTGTAAATATCAACTGGATTTTGTTTAGAAAAATTTTGGACAATTGTGAAAATTTGAAAAATGTCTGGTTATTAGGTATCATGGATATTTCTTAAGTGCAAAATGGTATCATGCTCATGTAAAGATTATCATTTTCTTAGGAAACACATGCAGCCATTTTTGGTGAAACACAAACTAAGTTGTAAGTTCTCTACAACTTACTTTTAAATAATTTAGTGAAAAATATATTTGTTACAATATATATCAAACAGAAAACATTAACACACTGAATTTAAGTGGAAAGCATACAGGTTTCATTGTACTGTTTTCAGCTCTTCTTTGTGCTTTAATATTTTCATAATAAAAAGTTTGGAGAAAGGAGATATATATGACTTCTCTTCAGAAAATAAAAAGCAAGAAGGGACTGGGGTAATATTTAAAGTGTTGAAAGAAAAAAACACACCTAGAATTCTGTGTCCAGGAAAATTATCCTTCAAAGTGAAGGAGAAATACTTTTTCAGAGAAATAAAAACTGAGGGAATTGGTCACCAACAGATCTGCCTTACAAGAAATGTTAGAAGGAATTCCTCAGAAAGAAGAAATATGATGTGGGTCAGAAACTCAGCTCTATACAAAGGAAGAGATTTAGAGAAGGGATAAATGAAGATTAAATACAACCTTTTATTTTTCTTAATTGACCTGACAGATGACAGAAATAAATAAATGAGTACAGCTTATAGATAACTGAAATGAAAGACAGCAATGTTATAAACAATAAGGAGGAGGAATTGGGAATACTATTTTACAAGATTCTTGCCATACTCATGAACTGATATGGTGCTGTTTGAAAGAAAACTCGGATTACTTGCAGATATACATTGCAAACTCAAGGGGAAGCACTAAATAAAGTAATTAATGTATAATTGATACGATAAGAGAAAAATGGAATCACATAAAACCCAATTAAAACCAGTGGGAGAGAAAGAGGGAAAGACAAAAAAAGGAAATAAAAAACAAGAGCAACAAAAATAGTAACAGGGCTGGCCTGGTGGCGCAGCAGTTAAGTTCGTGTGTTCCACTTCTGCGGCCCAGGGTTCGCCGGTTCGGATCCCGGGTGTGGACATGGCACTGCTTGTCAAGCCACGCTGTGGTAGGCATCCCACATATAAAGTAGGGAAAGATGGGCATGGATATTAGCTCAGGGGCAGTCTTCCTCAGCAAAAAGAGGAGGACTGATGGCAGATGTTAGCTCAGGGCTAATCTTCCTCAAAAAAACCTAAACAATAACAAATAAATAGATTTTTTTATTAAGATTTTTTTATTTTTTTCCTTCCCAAAGCCCCCCAGCACACAATTGCATATTCTTGGTTGTGAGTCCTTCTAGTTGTGGCATGTGGGATGCCACCTCAGCATGGCCTGATGAGCGGTGCAATGTCCCTGCCCAGGATCTGAACTGGCAAAACCCTGGGCCTCAGCAGTGGAACACTCGAACTTAACCAGTCAGCCATGGGGCCGGCCCCTAAATATAGATCTTAATCCATCTATCATAATAACCACTTCCAACATCAATGATCAATATACCAATTAATCAAGAATGAGAAGACAAGTCATAGACTGGGAAAAATATTCTCAAGACATCTGATAAAGGCCTGTTATCCAAGATCTAAGAACTCTTAAGACTGCACAATAAGAAAATGGACCTGATAAAAAAATGGGTGAAAGACCTGAACAGATACCTCACCAAAGATATACAGATGGCAAAGAAGGATATGAAAAGATGCTCCACATTTTATGTCATTAGGGAATTGCAAATTAAATCGATATTGCACACCTACTAGAATGGCCAAACTCCAAAGCACTGACACCAAATGCTGGCAAAGATGTGGAGCAACACGAATTCTCATTCATTGTTGGTGGGGATAGAAAATGGCAGCCACTTTGGAAGACAGTTTGTCAGTTTCTCATAAAACTAAACATACTCTTAGCACAAGATCCAAAAATCATGCTCCTTGGTATTTACCCAAAGGAGCTGAAACAGTATGTCCACACAAAAACTTGCACATGAATGTTCACAGCAATTTTATTCATAATTGCCAAAATTTGGAAGCAACCAAGGTGACCTTCAAAAGGTGAATGGAAAAACAAATCATGGTATATCCAGACACTGGAATATTATTCTGCGCTAAAAAGAAATAAAAAGCTATCAACCCATGAGAACGTATGGGGGAATCTTAACTGCATAGTGCTGTGAAAGAAGTCAATCTGAAAAGGCTACTGTTTGCTTCCAATTATGACATTCTGAAATGGGCAAAACTATGGAGACAGTAAAATGATCAGTGGTCAGGGATTGGGGGGGAGTGTTGAATGGCTGGAGCACAGGAGATAGGGCAGTAAAACTATTTCATATGACACTGTAATGACATATATTATACATCAAAATGCATAGAATGTACAACACAAAGAGTGAACCCTAATGTAAACCACGGGCTTTGGGTGATAATGATGAGTCAATGCGGGTTCAACAAATGTGCCTCTCTGGTGCAGGATGTTGATAGCAGGGCAAACGGTGAGGGGGGGCAGGAGAGGATAACTTGGAAACTGTACTTTCTACTCAATTTTTCTGAAAGCCTAAGACTGAAAAAACTTTAAAATCTATTAATTAAAACAAAACCAGTGCTGGCCCCGTGGCCGAGTGGTTAAGTTCGTGTGCTCTGCTTTGGCGGCCCAGGGTTTCGCTGGTTTGGATCCTGGGTGCAGACATGGCACCACTCATCAGGCCATACTGAAGTGGTGTCCACATAGCAGAACCAGAGGCATTCAAAACTAGAATATACAACTATGTACTGGGGGGCTTTGGGGAGAAGAAGGGTAAAAAACAAAACCAAACCAAATTGTATTCTACATAGCTAAATACTTGAAGCAGCAGTAGCATCACTTTTTGGCAAACCTCAAGTACAGAATCCCAATATTCCTATCTGTACTCAAAGCATCAGGCAACACTGGATAGCTAGGACACATTACAGCCATCACTGTGATGCAAGTCAATTTAACTGCGGGCTCTCCACCATTTATTCTGTATTAAGACATGGCCCATTCAAAAGGAATGATGTTGCATTCACACCAGATTGCTTCTTTTTCTTCATTGTATTGAATCTTCTCATCATCTTTTTATTCCTATAAAGCAAGTCAGAAAAGAATTTTGAAAAATTGTTGGAATAAGATAGACTATTTGTTCCATAACAACCCCTTGAAAACGACCAATAAAATAAGGAATCTACTTCTGGAGTTCCTGAGTAGTTTGCCCCATCACCTAAGGAGGGTGGGTAGAAAGATTTTACGTAGTAAACAAAGGAACAAGATGGTCCACTCATTCTCAGGGCTCGTATTCTGTATGCTAGTCAGTTCCACTTCCTTTATCTTTATACTTTCCCATGGCTTCCCAGAGCTTCTCACATCCCCTCCCACACATGCTCATGGTTTTCCCATTAAAAAATAAAAAGAAAAGGAGAAGGAAGCAGGATGCAAGCAAGCTCCCTTGATATTATTGTCTCAACTGCTCTCTCTTCCTTCTTGGCTTAGGTGGTAGAGCTTATCAATATGTCCTGCTCCCAGTGTATCACATGTTACACTCCAACTTACCATTGATGCTCTCAACCTACTGTCGAAAAAGCCACGAATGTCATCCTAAATTAGCATTCCTAATACTAGTGCGTTAATCATAATCTTACATGGCCATCTCACTGTCAACCATTTCCTTCTAAAACTCTCTGCCCTCAGCTTCCTTTCCTCACTTATCTCCCAAGCTCTAACTGTATACTTTTTATATCTCCATTGCCCACAAGCCATTTGAATTCCTATATACTCTTATGTACAACTTGCATGCTAATGACTCCCAAAGATGTTTACCTCTAACTCATACTCTCAGAACTCTAGACTAATGTCAAACATGGTCCACACATCGCACATTCTTCACCACTGATCTGGACTTCTTCCTTCCCTCCATCTGATAAGATAGCATCCTCTTCCCTTTATGACTACATCTCTTAAATTTATCCCATTCTTCCTAAATTCTTCACCAAGGTCCTAAGTTTTATCTTTCCAGATTACAGTAATATCTTACTTATCTTCCAATCTAGTCTCTGTTGAAAAATCAGTCCGCTTTCTTAAAAAAAAAACCTCAGTTTTCTTCCACACCTCTCTCACATTACCTCCACCCGATTCCATCATCAAAAGCTGAATTTTGTACTCATGAATGGACCCTACGAGTTCTATGATTTATATAAAATCCACAGCAGTGTTTATGTTTATGCCCACTGTATATTTTCTTAGAAGAGGGTATGTAGTTATCATTATATCTCAAAGGAGTCTATGTCCCCAAAGTGAAGGAGCAATAATGACCCACAGGACAATATATGAGACCTTTAATACAGATATAAAACCTTCAGTGGTCTGCCTCTCCCCTGCCCAGACTTATTTGTCAATACATGCTCCAATCATATTGACCCAATCATATTGACTTATTTGCAGTTTCTAAGTGAGTCACATTCTTTCATTTCTATGTGTTTGTATGGGCTATTTCTACTACCAAAATGCTGAAATTGTATTTTCTAACTGGTAGGCTCTTCCGCAGTACATCTGAAGCTTCCCTAAGCTGCTCCAATGTAAGTACTATCCATACATTTTCATAGCATCTTACTCATTTTCATTCCAGTATGCTACACGGATTTTGTTTTACTAAGTTTTGTATCCCTAGCTAAGTGTCTGACGTGGTAAGAACTCTAATTTTTTTTTTTTCTTTAAAACTGGTCTCTACAATTGAGGCAGTTAAGGTCTTAATTTGTCAGATACTTTGTTAAGGTTGCTAAGAAGCAGCCACATTTGCCTGAGTTCTAGTCCACTACTCAGTTCTTTTTGCTTCCTATTTTTGCCTGATCTATATGACAAATTAAGAAAACGGTATGTTTGTCCTCTGCCTTCTCCTACTAAATTATTCAGAAACCCATTTAGACATCTACTTTTCTGTGTGCCATGCTTACAAAGATACTTAAGGGTTACCTCTGAGCACATTCAGGGCATAACATATTATCTTCCAGGTCTGGGGATGGGAACGTGCAGGCTGGTAGCAGGAAGAGAGAGATCATCCTCCTGGGAGTGTCAGGCACCCAGGTCTGACCTGCATGGAAGTGCAGGCGAACCCAACCTTTCGTGTCTGCCCAGAGAGGTCTGCCATGGACCACACACCACCTGACACCTGGGGAGGGAAAGAGAAGGAAATATAAACAGTTAAGACCAAGTAACAGTGCCCAATCCAACCTCTCAGCAAGTCACTCTTGATTTTGCTCTTATATTCTGTTGATGAATCAAGTGAAAGAGAAGCATGAAAAATCCAGGCTAAAAGACACTGTAGTCTAACTTCACAAATTATATAGTACAAGAGACAATAACTATTAACTTTTTGGAATGCTTGCTTTGTACCCAGGATTTTGCTAAGTGGTTTACATGTATTAATGTATCTATTCTTTTTTTGTAAGGAAGATTGTTCCTGAACTAACATCTGTACCAATCTTCTTCTATCTTGTATGTGGGATGCCACCACACCATGGCTTGATGAGCAGTGTGTAGGTTCGTGCCCGGGATCTGAACCCGTGAGCCCTGGGCTGCCAAAGCAGAGTGCACAAACTTAACCTCTATGCCACCAGGCTGGCCCCGATACATTTATTCTTAAGAACATTAACATTTACCTTCTATTTATTTTTCTTATTTACAGACAAGGTAACTGAAGCTTATGGTGTTAAATAGCATAATTTTCCCATAAATTTCCCAGGTATTCTGACTCACAGCCCATTCACCAAACCATGACATTATACAGCCTCAACTACCGAAAACAGGCAAAAGGGTCATTGTTTAAAAGTATAGGGAACAATCTAATTGGCAAGACAGGATATTGCAAGAAAAGAAGGTAAGTTTTACAACATCAAGCGTCTGAAATTAAAACAAGGGAGTGGTCACTCTGGGTTTAAATATCTATAAATACAGAGTATTTGTAGGGATCTCTCTCTCTAGTCTGACTGTAAAATGAGAGTAGAGATTACGTGTGTTTAGCACAACATACCCCGAGCTGGGCACACTCCTGGACGACAGTAGGTTCTTAACAACTGCTGAATCAAGAGGAACTGAAAGGACGAGTAAGTATGGGATGCCACTAGCTCATGTGGCACATCAATGAAAATTAGAAAGTGGAGTGTCTTTGGGGAGGCAGTCCTCCTGACACAGCTTTGTGGCTGGACGGTGCTTTCGCAAATTAGCAAAAGGTGCCAGTTCCCCCTCAGTGAAGGGAGTGCAGACTGGGGAGAAGGCAGTAGGCCAACTTCAGCTCCCAGTCTTCCTTTGGCCTGGGTTCCTTGTGTAGTGAACAACGTGCCTCACCATCCAAGTCAGTTCTGAATAAAAGAGGATCCAGAACACTTCTGAGAATGGGGTGGAGAGGAAAAAAATTCAAGCCAAAAAAAAGGGAGAGTGACTTTGTGCTGGTCTGAGATAGGGTCTGCTGGAGACAAAACCAAAAATACCGAGAGAGAGGGGCAGGAGTTGGAGAAAGGTGGGGCTAAGTTATTCTCACAATTTTTTAAGAGGACAAGGGCCCCAAACATTTTATTTTTGCCTACTTTTGATGTGCCAAGTTGTATTTCATAAGTCTCATGATCATTCTATGCAGTAGGAGAGTTGTAACCTTCGTGTTACACATCAGGTTAACAGGGCTTAAGCTATGTAACTCGCCAAGGCCATGCATCTAAGTGGTAAGACCAGGATTTGAACCAAAACTGTTCAGTTCTAACCCCCACACTCTTATTCACTGTTATGAGGCCTTGAGGAAGGGAGAGCAGGGAAGACCTCAGGCTGTGGCTGACCCCATTATCAGATTATGCTTTCTTCCCATCTTAGAATTCGGCTTAGTGATGAGAAAAGGTCACCCCTCAATCACCTGGTCTGGAGATCCACCCAGGCAAAACTTAGCTATCTGCCAATCAAATAATAAGCCCTTTATGAACCTAACATCCAGTCACAGACTCTTTCATTAACTTTCCCTTTTACTACCTCTCAGTGTTGGAGTAATACAAGTTAACTTTCTTTCTCTGGAACGGTACTCACTCTTGAAGTTGATCTTACCAGAGGCTTGTGGCAGAAAGGTCTCCACAGAAGTAGGAATGGGACATGAATTCATAGCCTTAGGTTGAACGGCTCTGGCAGCAATTCTTGCCCACGCTGCCAACATGGCTTCCTGCGCTGAAGTGATTACTTCAACTATATTAGTCCCTTCCTCTCTCTCAGGCTTCTTACAACGTTTCGGAACCCTTGCTCTCTTGGTCACCATCTTGCACTTCCCCGAACATGACTGAAGTTTGGCCTCCTGTGGTGTTTCAGGAACATTCTGCAAATGGGATTCATTATGAGTATTCTGCGAAGTGCTACTGCCATAGGACTTTGTGTCCATTTTGCCGTTCTTTATACATTGGCCCACGTGTGTCAGCATAGAAAGAGTTTAGGAACGTCAGTTCCCTCAGAGCAGTGTTCTCAACTGGGAGAAGTTTTTGTTTGTTAAAACCGTGTGTGGGTGGAGTAGGGGTTGCTATGACACCCAGTGGGTAGAGGCTAGGAATGTTTAGGCTGCTACGTGTCCTAAATGCACAGGACAGCCTCCCAAACAAAAAGAAATTATTTGGCCCAAAATGTCAATAGTCTTGGTTGAGAAATCTTGCCTTAGAGATACCACATATACAGAGGTGGCTGGAGGAACAATTCACACCGCCATCACGGTCCTCACTCACCTGTTTTTGTTCAGAGTACGCATGCTCCTGGAGCCTCAGATAAACCTCTATTTTCTAAGGAAATTAAGAGGACAAATAAAAATTAAAAGCCGACAAAGCTTCCCATACTTGCTCCGGGCAGCGAGATTCCCACCAGCGTACTCACGTCGCCATCAGTACTCAAATGAAATTGTTGGCACCAGTTCCGCAAAGTGTCCCGCCGCACTTTATTAATCGGAGGCAAAATGGCCGGCAAGGGAAGGATGGGTGCTTTACATCTGGGTTTGGGGCGAGTTTTGAATTGTTCATTCGTTTGAGGAAGATGAACTGAGAAAAGAGAACCATAGGAGTAATAATTTAATATTTCTAAGATTCTTCATAATTTTACGAAGTTCTCACTTATTTCTCGCAACCCAGTTTGCATATATACATATCAAATATTTTTCTTCATATTACAAGTAAGGTAATAGATTCAGGAATTAAAGGATTAGCCTAAGATCACACCACCATCAAAATGGCAGACCCAAGACTCAAACCTACATTTTAAAATTCTAAATTCCATGGTTTTTACACTATATACAGCAACCTGTTGGGGTATTTTTTGCAGCCATCAGCAACTACTTGGATAGACTATTATACTGCATTGCTCCTCCAAGTCTGGGTTTTAGACCAGAAAATATCAGCTCTCTCTACAGAAACAAAAAAGCCGGCCCCAACCGACAATGGTCCTCATTCTGCCAGCCTGCCTCCTTATTCTCTGCAGTACCCTGTCTCATCTCATTCTGCCTACCTCTAACCTGTCACTATCTACTTCATCCTAAAGTCCTTGTTATTGGCCCAGAAAATGAAATTGTTCTGAGAAAACTTATTTGATGCCTTTATATGAAGCACTGAGAACAGATACAAAAGGTCATGGTATTAAAAGCTGCTGGATATTTATTTATTTACTTATTTATTTATTTATTACAGATTTTATTTTTTTCCTTTTTCTCCCCAAAGCCCCCCCCCCCCCCCCCCCCCCCGGACATAGCTGCATATTCTTAGTTGTGGGTTCTTCTAGTTGTGGCATGCAGGACGCCGCCTCAGCGTGGCTCGGTGAGCGGTGCCATGTCTGTGCCCAGGATTTGAACTGACAAAACACTGGGCTGCCTGCAGTGTAGCTCTTGAACTTAACCACTCGGCCATGGGGCCGACCCCTGAATATTTAATCAATAATTACTCACCAAGCAAATAGAAGATAGCTTTCAAAATTATTTAGACTTCTAAATACTGTATGATCCCATTTGTCTGTGGAATCTAAAAAACCTGAACTCATAGAAACAGAGTAGATTCATGGTTGCCAGGGGTTGGGATCAGAGGGTGGGGGAAATGGAGATATATTGATTGAAGGGTGCAAATTTTCAGTTATATGAGTAAGTTCTGGGGATCTAATGTACAGCATGGTGGCTATAGTTTAAATTTGCGTATTTGAATTACACAAATTCCGAGCTACTTTGTATTCTTGAAAGTTGCTAAGAGAATAAATCTTCAACAGGGGGAAATAATGTAATTGTGTAAAGTGATGTATGTGTTATCCTATTTTGGTAGTCATTTCTCAATATATACGTGTATCAATGATCACATTGTGCACCTTAAAATGGCACAATGTTATGCATCAGTTATATCTCAGGAAAGCTGGGAAAAATTAGTCTTCTTATGAGGTATGTAAAGTATGTATTAACCAAAATGAAGAGAAGATTGAGCTTCATGGGTTGGGAATTTAAACTCAGATCTAGCTGCCCTGTAAGACCATGCTCTATTCAGAGCACTCCACATGCCTATTTTTTTTTTTTTTTTGAGGAAGATTAGTCCTGAGCTAACTACTGCCAATCCTCCTCTTTTTGCTGAGGAAGACTGGCCCTGAGCTAACATCCATGCCCATCTTCCTCTACTTTATACGTGGGATGCCTACCACAGCATGGTTTTTGCCAAGTGGTGCCATGTCCGCACCCGGGATCGGAACCGGCAAACCCCAGCCCACCGAGAAGCACAACATGTGAATTTAACTGCTGCGCCACTGGGCCGGCCCCTATTTTTTGTGTCTTAACAGCAAGGCAGTACACGGCGCTTAGCAAATGAGAAGTTTGGGAGTTTGAGCCATCTTGCATCACGGATGATCACAGTGAGGTTTAAGCTAGGTGTTGTATAGTCAAAGGATAGGGAAGAAAAACTCTTACTTTTCCGAGGTTCTCAGAGCTGGAGGGGCAGCACACTGAGCAATCCCCGTCCTCATACCTTTGTCATCTGTCCTAGGCGTCTTCAGGTTGACTTCTGAAGTCGAAGAGACACTTGATTCCATTTGATGTTCTTCATTATGTTCCTCATTAACTGGAACCAATGTGAGAATCACATTTTCTTCATCTGATTCCTCCTCAAAAGAATTCTGGAAAGGGAAGTGTCAGTCACTAATTCTCATTTGATGCCATACAACTAAACTGCTTACTTGCAAGGACCAACTGATGGATAAGAAACTGACAAGCCAATAGGTGGACGGAGAGAAGACTTACTGAGATTCCTTGAATGTGATATTGATCAGCAGGCCCTTTATTAGATTAAGAGAAACAATAAGGAAATGGGCAAAAGCAGATTTTCAAGTGGGTGATAAAGAGGAAATGGAAGGGTAGGTTTTGGGTTTGGAGGACCATTTCCCTCATGGCCTTTCCTTTCCATCAGCTAAAACACCAAATACTTTCATTTTATCACCTAAATCTGTATGGAATGTGTTCCTGCCTTCCCATCTTCTATCACACGATTCCAATTCAAGCTGTCATCAACTCTCACTGGCAGATGCAATAATCTTCTGCTATCCCCAAATCCATTCTGACTCCATTCTTTCTGCAGATTGCTCTCCTGCTTGTGTAAAATACTTCAACGGCAGGTCATCGCTATTCTTGTTAAAGACAAAACTCCCTCGGGTAGCCTACAAATTCCTGAATAGTCTGGCCCCTGCCTGCCTCTCCAGCTCACGACACCTGAGCTTTCTGAGCTCCAGCCATACTGGCCTTATTTCAGCCCCAGACCTGAGAGGAGCGAATCTGTTTTACACTCTGTTGCAATCACAGTACCTAACACAATGCCCAGCCCAGAGTGAGTGCTCAGTGTTGTTTTAATGATTTAATGAATGAAAGAGAAAAGTGGACAGGCAGGAAGGAAATAACATTTACGGGTTTTGTACAGTACACACACACTGTGCTAGGCACTTTCTGTATTTCTCTTACCTAATCTTCATAGCATCCTTGTGATTTATTAGCTTTCCTGTTTTACAAATTAGACACTGAATCTCAGAAATTAAATGACCACTGGCATAGAGTAACATAAGCGTAAGTTTCTGAATATAGCCTTTCCTCACAAATCCAAGGGTGAATAAACTCCATTCCAGCCCATTGTAACATTCTCTCCCCAGAACAGCAGTGTCTGATGCAGCCGCGCCCCTCCCCCTATTTAAATCTCTTCAATGGTTACCCATTGCTCTCCCACTCTTTGCTTGCATGTCGTGATTTTGCATTTGTATACCACTTTTTAAAGCACTCTCACACACACATTCACTGGTCAGCTTCAAAAAAAGCCCCCCTGACATTATGGGGGGACATTACTCCACTCTAGAGAGAAGTGGGGGCTCAAAGCAGCTATATCACTTGCCCACAAGCATGTACTTAATATATACTGACCAATTCGGTCTTCCAGCCTGGTACAGCAGTCCCTGTAAATAACTATGAAACTTTCTCAACTAATTTTCCAGGACTACCCAAGTCTAGTCTGGAAACCCATTTGGTACCAAGGCCTTTGGGAGTAGGTTACTTGTTACTCCTGGAGGAAAGAAACCAGTTGGTCACTTTGCTTTCTGACCTTCTCCATATTACCCTTTTCCACTTAGCTCTCCATTTCTTTATTTTATTTAGTTATTTATTTAATCTTGCCCAGCTACAACATATCTGTGTACAAAATAAGTCTCTTACTTTGGGCGAGGAACAGAAATCTTTACTCTCTCCTTTTCACTCTCACCCAAAAACACACAGAGCCACAATTACGTGAAAGAAAAGTAATATCCACTTGAAAGAGGTGGAGATTCCAAGATGGAGACTTCTTACGTCTAGAAATTCAGATTCTTAGTAAGAAGGAGACATATGCCAGCTCTAGAAAGATTTTAAAAAGTGAATCTGTAGGGAAATTAATTCATTCAAACTAAACTTACCTTCTCGCCGCCATCGTAATTTGAGTTTGCCATTTCCAGGAACGCGCGGAGGAAGGCAGGCCAGCACTGTTAAGGAATCTGCAGTTTACTCCATTTAACCTGAGGGTTTGTCGCCTGATTTCTCCTTTTATAAGCAAATGTCTCCTTTTACTTCCTGTTTCCCAGAAGCGCTCTCTGCCTTCCTCCCCTTTCTCCCCTCCCTCGTTATTTGACAGTGTGATAGTCTCATCGGTTTTGTACTGTGTCTTGTCTATTAAGTGAGAGTTGAATTATTGAGTAATTAATATCACCCCTAATATTTAAAAAAAAAGATTTTTGTCTTTATTCCCTTAAGGTGGGACTTGGGAACTGGATGTGACAAACTTGCTGACAAGTTACAATGGAATATACAGAGTATTTTTTAACACTTCTGGGGCAATATTGGTGATGGATTAAATGATGTTATTATGGAGGGAATAGAAAAAAGATTCAGAGGTATTTTATAACTGATTTATGCCCATGGATGTGTCACTCTCTGGGAGATTAGATTTAAATTGTCAGGATTGGATAATCTCTCCTTGAGCTAGTTCTAAACACAAATATTAAGCCTGCAATGAGCTGGGTAGAAGGCAAGGGTTTGGGTGTTCAGAATCAGAGCAGCAGGAGCCAAAACACAAAGGCAAGTGATGGACTAATAAATGCAGAAGGAATGCAAGCACTTGAGGATTGCTGGAGCATAATGTTGGAGGCAGGATGTGACAAATGACAAGGCTGGCGAAGTCACAGATGTTTTCATAGATCCCTCTAAAGAGCCAGAGCTTCCAAGGAAAATATCATTCACAAACAATATGGCAGCACTGAGATACAGTGCTCTCACAGTGGGCTTTCTCTCCCTTTAGGAAAATGATTTGGACCATCAGTCTCAGGACCCAGGGAGCCCGAGTCAGTTTCATTTAGTGGTATACTATAATCAAAGTGTGGTGTGCAAGGGCTCGGCTTCAGTTCACTGAAGAACTGGTTGGAAAAATAAATTATGAGACTCCACCCCAGGCCTCCAGGATGGGACCTTTGAGGGCGGGACCCAGGTATCTGCCTTCAACAGGCCTTCAGGGTATTTCTTATGCACCTGAAGTCTAGAAGCAGTGGCTAGATCAAGGTGTGACCAAATAACTTTGGATTAGGCAGATAATGGTTGGAATCCTGGCTCCTCCCTTCCAGGATGGAAACTGAATCAGCCCTTGGAAATTCGGCCAAGAAAGCACTCCATCTAGCCACCTGGGTGTGGCCCCACCTGATGGGCTTTTTCTGGGTCATTAGAGGGGAGCTGAACTAATTGATCCCAGTGCCTTAGGCTGGGACAGGACTTCAAGTGGGAAGACCATTTCGTGACCATATCTTCTTTTCTTTTTAGCACTTAGTATCTTATTTGTTTTCTTGGTCTTTTTCTCCTGCTTTTTGAAAATGATATATTATGGGAAACGTGTACGAAAGCAGACAATAATATCATGCATCCTCTTGTGTCTATCATCCAGCTTCAATAACTATTGACTCCCAGCCAGTCTGATTTTATCTAAACCACCACCTATTTCCCCTCCCTTGGGTTACTTTGAAAGAAATACCAGACCTCATATCATTTCATTCATACATTCAGAAAAAAAAAAAAAGACTTTCTAACTATAATTACAATATCTTCTTCATACCTAAAAATAATTTCAAATAATTATTTAATATTATCAAACTATTCTGTCTGTTCAAATATCCAGCGGTATTTAAATATCCAATTGTCTCACATATTTCCTCTCATTTTCTTGTTTTAACAATCTTTTTGAATCAGAATCCAGATAAAGTCTACACGTTGTGATTAGTTGATATGTGCCTTAAATTTTCTTTAATCTATAATTTTCCCTCCATCTTTTATTTTCCCTACAATTTTCTGTTGTTGTCCTTGTTACTGTTTGAAGAATTATGTGAATTCCCTGTAATTTCCTGTCTAGATTTTGCTAATTTTATTTGTTCCTCCATTTAGCCTATTCTTCCATGCTCTGCATTTCTTGTAAATTGGTTTGATCAGGTTGAGGGATGGCTTTTTTTTTTTTAACAAGAACACTCCCTCCCGCTTCACTCATCTCATCATTATTCTTTAAACTTATATATATATTTTTAAGTATATTTGACATATAACGTTGTGTAAGATTAAGGTGTACAACGTGTTAATTCGATGCGTTTGTGTATTGTAATACCTTTGCCATTGTAGCGATAATTAACATCTCTATCGTGTTCTTTAAGTGCCAGTTTCTTGGAATGACCCTCAAAGAATTTGCTCCCGTTATTCTCTCACTTTTCCTTCAATGAATTCATTTGAATGTGTAATTCTATGTATATTTGGGATTTTACTTCTTTAACTCCATCTCCCCTGCTTAGACGGCAGGCACCGGAGAGCAATGGCCAGGTATGTTTGGGTCACCCTTGGTCTACGCAGAGCTTTGTACTGTGTCTGGCTCCAAATAGAGGCTCAATCAATGCTAGTTCTTCAGATTGCGTCAGCCTCCACCTTTCCCCCTTATCGCACCCAACCCCCTTCTGAGTAGATGTCTCTCTCTGTGCTGCTGCTAAAGGACATGGTGTCAACGCTGATCACAGACTGACATGACTGTCTCCTACCAGACTATGACACGCTGAAGTTCTCAGACTCATCTTCATTCTCCTGGTGCTCAACACAGTGCCTAGTTCAGAGAAGGCTCTTAATCAGGTGAAATGAATAACTCTAAGTCATATCACACCAACTTAAGTTGGGGGCTCGGTATATACCTCAGAACTCAAAAGCAGCCACTAAAAGGATGCTAAGCTATAAAAAGGCTGTAGGGTAGAGATTTAAAAAAGAAAGAAAAAATTGTTTATGAACACCTGTGTTCTATATTTCTTCCAGTAATAGACAATAGTTCTGAAATAAAAATGCATTACAAGGGCCGGCCCCATGGCCGAGTGGTTAAGTTCGCATGCTCCACTTCGGCAGCCCAGGGTTTCGCCACTTTGGATCCTGGGCACGGACATGGCACCGCTCATCAAGCCATGCTGAGGCGGCATCCCACAGGCCACAACTAGAAGGACCCACAACTGAAAATATACAAGTAGGTACGGGGGGGCTTTGGGGAGAAAAAAAAAATGCATTACCTATTTCAAATATATTTTATATACTATATTGTAAGTTAAATATTTATAAATACATTCTATTTATTGCTTAGATAAGTGCTTTTCAAAATCCCTTTTTTTTTTTTTTAAATCAGAAGAACATGCTCTGTAAAAGTAAATGTTTCTGGAGCACCAACATATAATAAATAAAAGTGGAGCAACTCTGGTTGGGAAATAAAAACCCGTAGGCATCCCACAGAACCCTACGCTTCTGAGAAAGTCTGGAAACTATGATTTAGTATCACTACCGGTTGAAAGAGACAACTACTGAGGTTTTGGTTTTCTGAGGAGAAGAATAAAAATTGCACTGAAAGATGTTCCCAACTTTGCCACATCATTCATTTCAAGAAATTCCCACTTAAAAGGACTATTGAATTCACTCCTACGTTAGAAGAATATTTATAGATCTTTACCTTCTGACTCAGATAAAACGGCATTTTTTTTTTTTCTTTTGAAAAAACTCTTCTACGTCATGGAGCAACAGTCTCTATTAGGAGAATCTTAAATTCAGAATTCAGACCAGTAAGGTCTGTCCTCTGTTCTGTATAACTCGGAGGATGTGGTCAGGACAGAGCATGGCAGTGAGAGTAAATGGGGAGGGCAACTTCTGACGACTGGACAGGGAATTGATTTGGCTGTAGATTCTCCAATAGTCGCAAAATTAGGTGTAGCCCCACCAGCAAGTGTTCTTGGGGCTGGTGAAACCAAATCCTTTCTCAGCCGCCTCTTTGCATATTGCATTTTCATTGAGTTCCATTACCTATGAGACAAATGGAATATGTGTTAAACACGTTGGAGTTGGAAAGCTCGATTCATGTTGTCCATTTGAAGTGGCTGAAGATTGGTATGAAGAACTTTTGGACTCTAAGCAATTGCTGTACCGTCTGAGGACTGTGCATGAGAAGGTTGGGGACTCAAGCCAAGTAATGAGAACTACGGCTACTCCCTCTTATGTCCCCATCAGTCACTTGCTCCTCCCTGAGTTTTCCACCTCTTTCTCTTTACAAGTTCTTCCTACTAGCACACAAACATTTCTAAGCCTGTCCCACTTAAAACAAAACACACACACACACGTCTCCTTTGACACTATCATTCTATTTACCTACTACCCTCTCCCTTCTTTTACAGTTCAACTTTCTGAACGTATCTTCTTACTCTATCTAGTTCCTTTCCATTCTGGTCTAATGGTTTTTCCACCTCTTTTCCCCATCTAACTCCTAAAATATTGACGTCTCATAAGTTTCATTTCTCTGCTCCTGATCATGCCTCATGCTTTCCTAGAGCAGCCTTATTCAATTTTCCAATTTTAACTGCCACTGACACGCTGACGATGCCCGTATATGTATTTCTAGCCCAAGTTTTTTGCCTGCATTACGGACCGAAGTTTTGGCATATCCTATCTTGCCCTTCGAATATATTAAAAAATAAACTCATTGTCTTCCCTACCAACTTTCAACCTTTTTCTGTATTTCTTCCCTTTTGAGAGGTAGTATTATCATTCACCCAGTCATCTAAACAACTGGGTACCTTATTGCATCACTTCCTTTCCACTTGGAGCTAATTAAAATTGAGCTTGTTCCCTTTCTGGGCCAGCGCTAACTATTATCAGTATTACTAGAGACTTTTTGGGTCAAGGACTCAGAAGTGGTAGTAAAGATGGCTGAGGCTACTGCTATGGGTTCTCTGATCTTGATCCTTTTCTTGAATATGGTCTCAGTTATTTATCACAAATCTTTTAGCCGTGTCAAGGGTAGTGGCCACTTCAGTTTTCTTCCCTCTTTAGGGTCTGTGCTGAGGGATTGCTAAACTGGCCAATATCAAACCTCTTGTTGAATATGACAATTTCTGGACCACTCCTGCTAAGGTGAGCATATTCTGAAAACAGGTCTCACGATCAATGTCCAAAGGGGAGCCCCCACCACTATTTTGCAAAAATGAATGTGACTTACCT